CAAGTTATTCAGGCAGAATTCGTACTAGAGGCGATTTCATGCCCTACTAACCGAGCTGATCAAAATTCGAATTAAAATAATTAAGCTGCTCTGTACTTCTGCAAGCATTCAAACAATACATTTATCGTATCAAAAACTAACAGTAATACCCCAAGTTACGCGATAGGTGGATCTGACAAAAGTCGAATTCGCGTAAATTGAGGTACAAATATGCATATAAATACATATAAATTTTCTTTAATTTGGACCAAGGACTAACAAAAACACTAGTTTAAAAGAAAAATATTTAATAAAATTGCAGTTCCTTATAAATATCAATACAAATATTAAAAAAATAAACGAGTTACGTAAAACGTTACTTCGATGTCGATGGCTTCATAAAATCTAACAAATTCGTCTGATGACACAATGCCTTTTTCACGCGAAATTTCTACTAGCAAGCCAACTTTTTATTCCTTCGTTTGTAGGTATGCCCTTTTCAAATGAGCTGAAACCTTCTGTCAAGCCTGCAATTCTCATGTGCTTTTCTGGTGGAAGTGGGTCTGAAGTGTCGGATACCTCAGTGATGCATCTCTATGAACTCATCAATTTTCAGTTCCTGACTATGTGAATCCAACAGCTCGTTGACATAATCACCATTGACTTTCAAATCTAACTGCCTGGCAAGATTAACAACTTCTATCACAAGAGCGAATAATCAGTTTCTGGCGCTGTTTCTGTCTTTATTCTGAAAAAACGGACAAAGCATTTAATGCTTTTTTGGAAATTTCATCCCAAGATTTTCCAATGTTTCTACCGCATCTAAAGCATTAAATTGTTTCAAAAAGTCTTTAACAGATATCTCACTGTTTTGCCTCGTAGCTTCATTCAGATGTGCCAACGAAGGGATCGTGCAGTAAGTCTTGAATATTTTGATGACTCCCTGTTCCATCGGTTGAAGCAAGCTGGTTGTGTTTGGAGGCAAAAACATAACTTTCACACGTGGTCGAAATTACTTAGGTAAGCATCATGGTGACGGGGTGCATTGTCAATAAGAAGCATCACGTTAAATGGAATCTGTTTAGACTTGCAATAACGTTCGACTTCAGGTGTGAAGTGGTGACCAACCCAGTCCTCAAATACGGACGCTGTCACCCAAGCTTTATCATCTACTTCCAAATCAGCGGTAAGCTAATTTTAGATATATTTTTTAAGGCTCTTGGGCTTTCGGAGCGGTAAATTAAGAGAGGTTTTAACTTGCGGTCACCAGCTGCATTCCCGCCAACCATCTCTGTCAATCGTTCTTTTGAAACCTTAAAGCCTGGAAAGTTTTTTTTTCACGTGCGATGAAGTTCATTTAGGTATCTTCTTCCAGAACAGGCCAATCCTACTGACATTAAATGCGGTCTCACTGCTATAGTCACCTTCTTCTATCATGGCCTTGAGTGTGTCAGGAAAAGAAGATACAGTTTTTAAATTGATACTTGCCGCCTATCCACTCTCCGCAATGCTGTGCCAATTACAGCAGGTTTCAAATCAGCTGAACCAACTGTTACTAGCAACAAAGT